AGCAGAGCCGGAGGAGCTCCGCGCAAAGCTCCTTTCATCACGCCGCTCAGCCGCTGCTCTGGGCTGTGTCGCACCCACGGCCAGCTGGGGGTAGGGCGCAGGGTCGTCTGTCCGCTGGAACCCCGATGTCCCCCGGGTATGCCGAGGGCCGGAGTCCCCTGGACGCCTCCCTGCTCTAGGCAGCATGGCCCCGTGCTGCCCATGAGCACATCTTGGTAGGGCCTGTTCTTTTCTCTTCTTTCATTAAACAGGAATGTGTTTAACGTTTACCTCAAAGGGTGAGCTGTTCAGTTGACTCAGTTTACCTGGACGAAATCATGCCATGAGCAGTTCAGAGTTTAAATGCCCATCTTGTCGTTGAGACATAAATGTATCAGCTCTGTGATCTCCTTTTTCCTTTTATCGGTAGACATGTCAGCCTGAAAACACCGCACTGTCCGTAGCTGCCGGGCCTCCTCTGGCTGTGTCTGACCCTCGGCCAGTTTCTGAAACGGGCTGTGTGCGTCCTCCCAGCGCGCCAGCCCCGTGGGTGCTGCTGGAGAAAGGCCGCAGGAGCGTGAAGGCCGAGTTTACCACGTTCCTCCAAATGACTTTGACTTTGCAGCCAGGGGTCTTAAAAACCAATTCTTGCACCAATTCTTTCTGCTAACAGCTTTTTTGTTTAAAAACGTGTATCATTTGGGCACATACAACTTTAAGAAACATTTAACTAGTAATTACAATGTAAATTTAAAAATTGATAGCAAGTGGAAGGATCTTAAAATTTGCTATCTAATTAGTGAATAGTTGATACAGTTTCACACATAACAATGCAAATATTTGGTCCATAGGTTTTCCTTGCATATCTTTTTTTTTCCTAATCATACTTTTGATAACATTTTATAAAGGCTTTTGCAACCATGGCAGGGAATTTATTTACTACTTAATTTTTTTTATGTGTAGCGTACATTTAAAAATTAAGTAAATCTAAACACAGGAAATACATATGGCATTCTTTCCTTTCTTGAATACTTTGCTATTTATACAGTCATTTGAAATTTAAGTGTAAATATATTTTAAGAACTGTGCCTGGTTCATCTTTGTACTTCATCTAATTTAGTAGATGACCCATAAATGTAGGGTGTTCTATTGTCTCCCATGGGAGTGATGTAGGAAATATTCTACAGCAATGGGACTCTGCCCTGCTCAACTTTTCTGCCTTGTATGAAAAGTATCATTGCAAATATCAGATAGCAATCCTATATTAATTTGCTTTTGTTATAAATCTCTACATTATACAATTTCATTTTGAACAATCTAAAAATGTAGTTTTTCTATAATTTTAAGTGTCAATAACTTAACATATCATCTAGTTTTCATTGAATAGGTTTTGTTTTGAGGAACATTTTTAAAAAAAGTTATTCCCCTTTAAATGTCAGTCTGTGTCTGGAGAGAACCCACCTCTCCCATTCTGTGCTGGTGTCTGCAGGACCCGGGAGGAGAGTGGAGAGCTGGTGATTGCAGCTCACAGCAGGGGACATGGCTGTCAGCGATCTGCCTCCGGACCCCGACAGCCCCTCGCTTTAGAGGACTCAGTGCACGCTCCATTATTCTCTGCTGCTTTGGAGCACTCGGTGTGTTTCTGGTCACCACCGATGGCTTTGCAGCAGCGTGAGCATTGCGTTAGGACAGAGGAGTAAGCAGTTTTTATATAAACGCACTAGACACTGTTTGGAAAACCACTTTTTTCCTCATAGCAGTTACTTTTTTGGATACAGATGAAGCTCATTCCTAATTTTTCCACTCTGATCACACACAAACTGTAACTTACAGCTCTTTCTAAATACTTTGGTGGGTTTGTGTTTCAGCAAGTGTTTTTCATGGGTGTCAGGCCTTTGGCATTTTATGCTGCATTGTGACATTTATTTTGCTTGTTGTTTCGTAGGACACTTTCTAGAATCAAAGAGTAAGAAAACATCGTACAGGCAAACAGTCTAAAAACCTACAGGGACAATCTTAGCTGATGTATAAAAGGGTAACTGTTTGTGGGGAATGGAGCAGTTCTGCGTTTGGGTTTATACGCCTGCTGGTTGCCGCTGACCTCCACGGAGCGCACAGCGGCCCCAGGGAGCCCGGCTCCGGAGGAAGGCCGCGGCCCCGCGGCCGGGGACAGGCTCTTTGTCTTTCTGACCGTCTGCACGCCGGCACATGGAGGCAGCTTGGCTCTACCTTCTTGCAGAGGTATATTTTTAAACAGCCTTTTGGTAGCTTCCGGAAGCTTTGGGAAGGTGCGTGGAGGCCAAGTGTCCGGGCCCTACCTCGCCTTCTGCAGCTCTTGCCGCAGCCAGGCCGGCAGGGGCTGCCCGAGTTTGTGCAGCAGCTTGGAGAGCTCCACGTTGTGGTCTCGGTAGTAGCTGGACAGGAAGGCTCTGCTCTGGGGGGCGGAGGGGGGAAAGCGCAGTCTGTTTACAGTTCATCACAGCAAACGCCACAAACCCTGACGGGTTCAAGCCTGCGCACACATCTCCATTCCTGGATTGGCACCTGCGCTGTTTATTTATCACAAAATAAACCCAGGGACTCTGTTCCTCAAAACACACACCCTACGCACACACGCTCTTTCACTGGGGGAGGAGCTTTTGGAGTAAATGCGTGGCTGATTTGCGTGTGCAGAATTAAATGTTAGAATAACTAGACTGAGTTCCTGGATATATAACTTAACAACGGACAATTTACTAGTCTGCTCTGTGAACACCATCCCGTCTTGGAGAAAGAGCCTGGCAGATCTGTACTGTTAAATACGCCTCGGTCATCATTGATTTCCATTTATATTTTGAGTCCTTTGGAGGACTCTTAAGGCACTTAAAAATCCTGACCTCAGAAACCGTGTGTGGGGAGCCTTACAAATGCTCCGGCCATCAGGTAACTGTGACCCGGCCTGTTGGTCCTACTTGAATCAGGGAAGGAAGAGCACGCCTTGGAAGCTGTCCTGACTTCAGTGAAGAAGAACATTTTCCTAATGAAACTGTCAGAAACGGGAAAGGCCGTGGTGTGGCCTTCGGTGGGGTTTCCGTGGGGTGGTCGGGAATGTGAGGGGCGGCACTGCCTCTGTGCCTGTACCTCCCGCGTTATATCGCCCTGAGATTGTTAGTTGAGTTTGTCCTTCGTAAAGCTTTATTCATTCCCTGTGCTCTTACTTTTAAGTGGCATAGGGAAAGTCTCTTCCTGTGTAATAATTTCATGTGACATGGGGGTTCTGTGGGAATTATGGTCTCTGGCACTAGACTGAGCATGGGAGCTGCCTCCCTGGGATGAGGGAGGACCTGCCGTTTGTACGGCTGTGTGTCTGTCTGTCTCGTCTGCCTGATCTGCTCTGTTCCAGCCTGTCAGCCCGGCTGGCACGCTCAGGCCAGACAAAGGCGGACACAAGTTACGTCCCCCATCTGGGAGCCCGATCGTTTTGTGACCTCTGCTCCAGCCAGACCTGGAGTCCAGGGAGGAGCTGGCTCTTGGGGGACAGTCCGAATTTCCGACGGTCCCCTCCCATTCTCTCTGAGCAGCTCACGCAAATTATTCCCCTTGTGACTGAGCCCTGCTGCCAGCTGGCTGCTGATGGTCCCACATCCCAACACTGCAGCCTGGAGCGCGTTGGGCTCTGTTTCTTCTACCCATCCCCTGGAGTTTGGCACAAGCCTCCTGAGACTGAGGACCAGCTCAGCTGCCTCAGTTTACCGGCTTGTGGGCACCATTTTCAAACCTGGCAAGGGTTTCAGCGACCCCGTCACAGTGCAAAGCTTAGCACACTGGTGGTTACTGTCAGGCAGCCACACACTACTTCGGAGAGGCCCAGTGAGAAAGGGAAATCTTTTGGTCCTATTTTCACTTTCCGCTTGATATGTTCCTTGGTTTTGTTAACATTTTCTCGTGCTAACATTTCCTTTTGGAATGAGATGCTGCCTTCTTTGTTCTGACTCAAAATGGAAAGTCCTGCAGCTTTTCTATATTCCTGCCCGACAGGTGAGACGTTACTGGAAATATCAAAACAGGCAGCCTGGCTGTGCTAAAATCCAAACGTCGCTTTTAATTTTTAGGAAGGCTGAATTTGGATTTTAACCACCTTTCTAAGAAACTAGATGTATTATCATTTAGGATTTTGCTAACTGAGTTTGCATTTTAAGTTCTCAACTTACATCAGGGTCCATTGGGGGGTATTTCCTTCCTTTGCTCTTTCCAAGGCATTTTGTTTTACCTTCTTCCAGTAACTGGCACCAGAATCCTTTATGAGAATCAAACCTAGAAAAGAACCCAAAAAAATGTATTTTTCAGGCAACGCATAAGACGTCATGACCCCACAGATGAATATTATTGCTCGGTGTTAATCTGCAACCAGGGAAACTGGCCTGGTTTTGACTCCATCGCTCTGCTGCAAGTCTCCTGGCAGAGTCTCAGTCCATCTGTCACATCTGCAGGTTGGCCAGATCCCTAGCAGAAAAGTTGTCAGCAGAAGGCCTCCTATTAATAGAAATTAATAAGCCTACCTCCTGCAACTGGAAGGAAAAGCTTTCATCAATTTCAAGCCCATTCTTTCCCTTTCCGGGGTTTAAAAGGACAAGCCAGGCTTCACCCACACCTCTGGACTGCCAGTCCTTGGGCCGTACAGTCGCGGGGTCATGGGAGAGAAGGGCTGTGGCGCGACACGGGGTAACTAATTTTAGGGTTCTCCAGCAAGAATCCACCGAACTCTCTTCCAGCTATTTTCTTACTTTGCTACCAGCTCTGTAGGAAAGCAACAGCGCCTATAAATTTAGATTTTCATGCAATAATTTTATAATCACAATAATAGCACACACTGAATTTACATTTTAGTTCACTAAAATATTTCCTTTACCTCTCTGTCATCTGCGCTTTCATTATAACCCCTCGGTGACCTGGAGTGAAGGCTTCTCCCCATTTTATGGCACTTAGCATAGTATGTGGCCCTGTGAGTGTTCGCCAAATGATGGTTGAATAGAAACAAAAGAGAAGCAACTGTTTGTCACATCTAATTTTTTACAGCTTTTTCAGGTATAGTTTTCCCATCATAACACTCACCCTTCTAAGTGTGCAATTCAGTGATTTGTAGGAAATTCAACCACCACACTGTGCAACCACCACAGTCCAGGTGTGGAGCATTCCCCACCCCCTGTCCCTCAGGGCCCACGGCAGTCAGTGCTGATGTCCCCCATCCCTCGGGGCCCACGGCAGTCAGTGCTGATGTCCCCCATCCCTCGGGGCCCACGGCAGTCAGTGCTGATGTCCCCCATCCCTCGGGGCCCATGGCAGTCAGTCCTGATGTCCCCCATCCCTCGGGGCCCATGGCAGTCAGTCCTGATCCCCCCCTGTCCCTCAGGGCCCACAGCAGTCAGTGCTGATGTCCCCCATCCCTCGGGGCCCACGGCAGTCAGTCCTGATCCCCCCCGTCCCTCAGGGCCCACGGCAGTCATTGCTGATGCCCCCGTGCCTCAGGGCCCATGGCAGTCAGTCCTGATGCCCCCGTGCCTCAGGGCCCACGGCAGTCAGTCCTGATGCCCCCGTGCCTCAGGGCCCACGGCAGTCAGTCCTGATCGCCCCCCTGTCCCTCGGGGCCCACGGCAGTCAGTACCACGGCCCCTCCGCAGGTGGCCGCCCCCTCTCCTCCCGACTCCGTCCTTCCCGGGCTCTCCCTTTCTTTTCTTTCTGCTCTGGGGAGGGTCCGCCAGATTCTGTTAGTCCCTCTACCAGGTGAAGGACACGTGGGTGGGTTCCAGTCTGGGGCTGTTGTGACGAATTCCGCTGTGGACACGTCCGTGGACGGTTCATATCTCTTGGGATGGGTTCCTAGGGGGCACTGGAGTGTCCACGAATGTCTGTTCAATTTTTAAAAATCGGTAAAACTGCTTCTCCAGAGCGGCCACGTGCCATGCCTCAGGTCAGCAACAGGAGGGTCCAGCATCTCCACTTTCTTGCCAACCTTCGGGACTGCCTGTGAGTCACAGCCACTGTGTGTGTCAGTGAGTGTGGCTCCTCTGCAAAGCAGTGTGACTGCACGTCTACGACGCACAGCGACAGTGTGGAGAGGGCGTCTTTCTACAGCCGAGCTGCGGACAACTTAAGGAGCCCCCTTGAAGGCTCCAGTTTCTAAAGGAGGCGCTTCCTGCTGGCGTCCTGCTCACCAGCGAGATGCACAGTGCTGGCATCTCAGGCCTGAACACCTGGTGCCGCTGGAAGAGCTTAACGGGCCGGCGGTGCGGCTGTGCAGGGTCAGTCCTGCCTCCTGCGTTTGGCTTCTCTGTGCCGTTTTTTCCCTGAGAAATGGAGCGAGCGGGGCCCATCACACAGGGTTGTTATGAAGCAATAATGCAAAATGCTTATGACACGGGAGTGTTTTCCGATTCTGAAATGTCACAGCCACTTTTGAGGGAAAGGCACCGTCTGAAATGGGAGCAGACGACTTTCTTCTCTGTCACCTCTTGGCATTCGAGGCTCTTCCCCAGGTGGCCTGGCGAAGCGGAGGCCTCGGCTGCCTCGGTGCCACCCCTGCCAGGAAGGGTTAAGTCAGCGCCGTTCCACCCGCTCGTCTGGAGCGCTCGGGGAGAGCTCCTGGGCTGCCCCGACTTGGCCGCCAGGCAGCAGGTCAGGCAGGGCACAAGTCCTCTGATGCCAAAGCTGCTTCAGCTCCTTCTCAGCGAAGCCCCATCCTCGCAACAAAACAAGTGCAACCTCTGTTTAACTCTGGCCTTCAATCCCTTACTGCCCACTTATTGATGGTTTCAGTCAGTTAGTATTAAAAATCCATGCAGTCCAGTCTGGTGCACTCATGCTAACAAACATGTTGGCTGGCAGAGAAATAAAGGCGAGAGGCTCAGGCATTTCTCTAACTGGTGTTTCTGCCCCTCCTGCCGAGCCACTGGGGGCTGGTAGAACTGTGAATGGATGTGTTCACGGGAAGATCTAAAGTTTATATTTTTCATTTTAGCTAATATAAATTAGCATAATTCCATGCTAACCGTCATTTTCCCTGATTTCTCTCAAATATCAGTCAGCTTTAAACCACTCGGTCACACAAACTGTGAAGACCAAAATAACGTCGGTACATCCGTCCTGTTTATAATCTAGGGATGAAGGTTATTTCAACAAGAATTGTAAAGTGTTAATTTACTTAACTGAAAAAGTTGCCATTTATGCTGTTTAAAGCTTATCCTGCTTATCTCAAATCACAACCACACTCATTAAGAAAATCGTATTTTTTTACACATTTGATGTGTCATCTGAGTCCATGACGATGGTGTAAGTCGTTTTAAGACATCACCCACTGCCCGGTGCCCCAGCAACCCCGCGAGTCTTCACCACCTTCCGTAGTGACTGCGGAAAGGGATCCAATCATATTCTTGACAATGGAAACTTAGTGCCACTTCTTGAAAACAGTTTGAAGTTGGAGGTTCCACGTTAAAGGCCGTCAGCTCATCGATCTCTGAGACTGGACCCCTCTTCCACACAGGCCGTGTGGTCAGCCTCTGGGCAGACGTGGCCTCGCTCACGTGTTCTCCTGTGTGCCCAGAGCTGGCGTCCTGTGGTTGGTGGAGGATTCCTACCTGTCTGCAGTTCACTGCATTCTTAGAGGGCTTTAGATGATTTTTTTTAGGTACCAAAGAGACAGGCTTCTCTATCAGTAGCAGGAAAAACATGAAGTGATAGGTGCCACTCCGGAGAGCATGCATTTGTACCCCCGTCACCCCCACATGCCCGAGGCACCGGAGAGCTGCTCAGTGCACCTGCTGCCACTAGTGACCCACAGCAGGGGGCACAGCGAAGGGGCACTCAGACCCGTTTAGGCCGACAGCAGTGACATGAAATTCCAAATATTCCACAGCAGGTGCCGTGCTGCTCTTTACAAGGTGCCTCAGGCCCGCCGATGACCGATGAGACAACGAACGAGAAGCTGCGTGGCGCGGCACATCACCTCTACGGCGGCGGGCGGCGAGCGGGCAGCCCCTGACCAGAGGCTGCGCCTCCGGAGGCCACACGTCCCTAATCTGCTGCTGGTCTCCCTGAGCTGCCAGGCTAGGGCGTCGTGTGGCGGGTAAGCCTCGCCAGACGCACCCCAGGCGCAGAGGGAGCCGGGTTCTGCGCCCCCGGCACACGGCGTGGGTATTACTCCCCTCCCCTCCCCACGCCTCTCTCCCCACGAGGAGGACAGACCCAGGTTCACAGCCAAGCTGGGTGCCGAGGGACAAAGAAACACCGGGCGTGCAGGTGGGGGACCTTCCATAGAAAAGGGAGCGTGTCTGTTGGACACTCCACTGCTCTTGGAAACACAATGCACAAACCCAAGATAGGCCAACTTGAAACAGAAAACTGTAGAGAAGAAAAGCTTTCTCTTCTGGGAGGTACTTAGGAAGATATGAAGCGGAGAGCGGGCTTGAGTTTCTAAATGCAAACTGAAGCCACTCGGCTCTCGTCACAGTCAAGCTGGGAGTCAGGTGCCTCTGGCTGGCATCCGCGGGCGCACTTGACCCGAGGCCTCAGCTCCCGCAGTGCCGTGGGGTAGACCTCACAGGCCGGCAGGCTAATCGCGCCAGCATAGGAGCCGCCTCTCAGGAAGGAAGCTCGGGACTCGAGCTCCACCTGCTCCCCGGTCAGCTGAACCGAACGTCCCTCTCCCACATGTCCCCGCACATCATTCCTGCCAGACGTAAGCAGCTCTGGGTGTTTTCCTGCTGATGTTTCACTAGGGGCTGCAGAAAGGGGGATGGATCCTGCCTAAATGCTACAAAATAAGGGCACCATGGAGAGAGAACGTCAGCCGATCTGTAGACTGAGTTTTATATTGATAAACACAATGGAAGAATTCCACAATACAGTCCTTTCCAGTATCNCTATATTGATAAACATGATGGAAGAATTCCACAATACAGTCCTTTCCAGTTTCTTTAAGGTGCAGTCCATGGCTCTACAATTAAAAATATAGATATTGCTGTGAGACTTGGGTCATGGCCCATCCAGCTCAGTATCTGCAAGTTGCTCCAGGCCTGTGACATAGGAACAAACACGGCCCTCGTCAGTGTGACGGCCAACCGCTCGCTGTTCATGGACACAGTGAGACGCAGGACTTATCTGACACGCCCGGTGAGGCCCCGAGTCAGGGCTGCGGTCAGCAGGGGGCACACGTTTAAAGAGACACCCTCCCGCACCTGCACAGCCCCTCGGGGATGCACCTCCTTCAGTGCCGGTGCCTGGCTCACCGCACCCCGGCCCCTGCCTAGGTGGAGTCTTAAGGAAATCAGAGGGAGCCAGGGAGAGAAAACCAAACAGGGCTGAGGCTTCTGAAGGAGAGGGGACAAGTCAACCTCCAGGGGGAGGTCACACAGGGAGACACGTCTGCCTCCGGGTAGCAGCAGCGCGCCTCCCTCCGCCCGCGCCCCCC